ATCCAGAAGCACATGTGGGGAGGACAATGCAATGTAGGACTATGTACTATACTTGTAGCTGATAAACTTCAGTTAAAAGCGTGTATGACATTGCTTGGATTCTACCAAGTTTCTGTATCTGGGTAAATAGTGTTTAATCAGCCTACTTCCAACTTCTCAATGCCTGTTTAACACCCATAATGTAAATCTTGTAGCATTTTGGGATTCACACCACTGACTTGGGTACTTGGTAAACCACTACTGTAGAATACTTTATTTTCACTTGGAATTTATTTTTGCTATTTTCGCTGAAGGGATGATTCCATGAAGATAAAATCCAGCGAATATACTTTTTTCCCAATATTTCACATTAAACTCATCAAAAATCAGTGAAAATATATTCTACACAAAACGCCCAAAAAGCCTTTTCAGCGAAAATTAATTCCAGCGAAAATAAAGTATTCCATAGTATTTGCAATTTAGAAACATTTATTTGAATTGTATTAAAATGTTTGCTTCAATCTCAAAATACCAGCATTAAAAATTTAATAACGGAAATCTCAGGTCATTTGTAATTGAAAGATTAGTTTCAATATGTTGATAGTTTATGTCAGTATCTCAATTTAAGATCAGTGATTGTCAGCAACCAGCCAAGTCACTTGTACTTGTAACAAGCAGGGCAATATTCATTCAACCTTATCTTATTTATTAGAAAAAGTAGGCATAGTATGTAAAGTAGGTCAATGTTTAATTATTGAACTTTGTGGTCACAAAGATCCCAGCCATTTCACATGTTATGCAAATATGAAACTGAAATCTACACTATTTTTCAATCAATACATGAAGCATCTTCTGCAATTACTGTGACAATCCAGAGCTGAGACTTGATGATGTTATTCAATATGAATGTATCGGACCTATGGCTTTTCCCATTAGATTATATACACTAACCGTACAAAGATCAACTCAACTCAACCACACCCAATAGCGATACTATGTGTAGTTGTTTAAAGATATAGAAAACCTTCACATAACACAGTTACAACTAAACCATTAGTACTATCTTCCTTCTACTACCATAGATGTTACCCCCCCCCCCCGCTACCACTGGTGCTATTGCCCTCTGCTACCATTGGTGCTATTGCCCCTCTGCTACCATTGGTGCTATTGCCCCTCTGCTACCATTGGTGTTATTGCCCCTCTGCCACCATTGGTGTTATTGCCCCTCTGCTACCATTGGTGTTATTACCCTTCCACTACCACTGCCCTTATAGGTGCTATCCCTACTACCATTGATGCTATTGCCCCTTCTGCTACCATTGGTGTTATTACCCTTCCACTACCATTGCCCTTATAGGTGCTATCCCTACTACAATTCATGCTATTGCCCCTTCTGCTACCATTGGTGTTATTACCC